TATATATATATATATATATGTGTGTGTGTGTGTGTGTGTGTGTGTGTGTGTGTGTGTGTGTGTGTGTGTGTGTGTCGTGTCTATAACGTCCTTTAACAGCTTCCGAGCCGCATCGATAATGTAGCACTCACTGTCGATGTGCAGCTTTCCCTGCAGCGAACCGGAAGTGTACGGGAAGAAGCTGTGAGCGAGCACGTTTCCCGGTCCGTCGAATGGATTATTGTCGCCATGGTTACGGCGTTCGAAGCTGAACTCGATGTCCGTGCGCGAGCCGTTGCGTAGCTCCGTGAAGCCGATGAGAGGCTGGCGGCCGCCATTATTCCCGTTGATGGCCGTCTGCCACTTGTCTAGCTGCATTCGCATCATGTCCCTGCGCCCCGCAAAAACGGCTTTCATTTATTTACGCTTTCAAAAATTTGCATGGTTACATAGATGTCACGAATTCTTTAATAAATGCAGCGAGGGAAGGCGAATTGACTGTATACAGTCTTCGGCAGCCATTTTTTTTACATTGAACGTGGTTCGATTGCGAGTACAATTCGCACTCGGAAACTATATATAAAGCGCCAACAACGGGATAATAACCTAACCACATGGCGCAGCACGATTATGACAGTTCAGCAAACTAAAACTTAGCAAACCGAAAGTTCTCCCATGCCTACGTTGTGTACCTTTCACCATACTAAGTTGTGTGCGAGTGTGAGAAACGTTGTTTGTGCACAGCCTACATGATTTTACGACAGGCCTGCAAGCGCGCTTGGCATGTCACGCATTCACGCTCACCTAACTCGTACAGAAGAGAGGCCGAAATATCCGTTCAGCAAATTCCATGTTAGATCGCATTTGAACCACCACCTGGCGAAAAAATCATCTGCAACAAATAGCATTTCGCGAATCAAAATTTATATTAGTGATGATTTCTGTTCAAAGCTGTGTAACCCTAACTCATATCAGCTGATTTTTGATCTGAATACGATTGAATTCGATATTACCGTGTTAAGAATACGGTAGTCGAGATGAATGTACACTATTGCAGTCATATTGCGAGAGTCATATTGAATTACACTAGCATCTAGCAGCGTGTTTGACATTTACTGATTCTGAACGTCCGCTAAAAGTTATTCGTTAACCGAGGAAAGTTGTTCGTTCGCTAAATAGCGAACGAAGGCATACCGAACAACTTACCGAATAACTTTACCGATCAACTTTACCGAACCACGCGTTTCACTAACGCTTCGCTATGCTCTCGCTATTTTGCGAACAACTTCGCGTCAGCTGGCCGCAACTACAAACACGTGGCGCAGTTGTTGATAGGTTACGCTCTGTATCATCTAATTTCTGTATCATTGTAGGCATCAAACGGAATTGTGTTCTGTCTCTGAAAACTCTTTCTCTTCGTAAATGTCGTCTTTCATTATCTCGATTATAAGCTTGATACAATAAAAAGTTTGCCATGCTTGTCACTATACACTCCGCTGCGTGCAGTAGTGCTCACTGCTTGCAGTTGTGCAGTTGTGCTCACATACTATACGCTGCTTGCAGTTGTGATGTCGGCGATAAGAGTTACTCGAAATAAGTGCTAAGTATTTTAGGTAGGTGCGTGCTAATTTCTGTGTCGCATGGGTGCTATATTCTCGGAGCTTGCTACGCGCTAACGCGTGTGTCCCATCTGTCAATGTCCAAGCTCTCGTTCGACAACCGGTTTGCAAACAGAGACTACACTTGCATGTAAATCTGTGGCATCGATAGCATGTAAAGACTCACAACACACATTACAATATATTATGAACTATTGAAAGATTAGAGTAAAACATATAACATTTTGATATTCTTTCTATAGGCGAGCGAAAGCGAAACAGGCAGGCGAAACGGAGCCTAAAGTAGAATAAGTTTATATATATATAGCCAATATATATATATATCCTATAATAGGCACTCTAAAAGTCAGACCAAGATGCAACTTCCCGTAGCGTTTATCTGACTACACACTAACTACACAGGACACGACTCACTTTAAATCTAAATTTTAAACCACGGATCGCTATATAATGCAGCAAAGATGAAAGATTTCGCCTGGTATATATTTCGTTACCCGGTAGAGTCTGTCTTCGCTTGTACGATTCTTCCTGCGTCGTCGCGCGCCCCCTTGCGGGGTCTTGCAGCGGGAGCAGCCATTCGTCGGGGTAATCCGGCACGCCACATCGCGTCTGAGCCATCTTACCCGCTGTAGCCATGTTCAGCTTGCCCGTCTGAGGCAGATGCATCATGAACTGAAACTTCCTGTTAGCAGTCAATTACAGAAATCATTTTCAATCGTACAGGGAGTAACAATCGTACATGGTGTAACAATCATACAGGGAGTAACAATCGCACAGGGAGTAACACTCGTACAAGAAGTAACACTCGTACAGGGAGTAACAATCGTATAGGGAGTAACAATCGCACGGGAGTAACAATCGTACAGAGAGTAACAATTGTACGGGAGTAACAATCGCACAGGGAGTGACAATCGCACAGGAAGTAACAATCGTACAGGGAGTAACAATCGTACAGAGAGTAACAATCGTACAGGGAGTAACAATCGTACATGG